AAGGAAAAAAAGCAGGACAGTTCCCAGGCTCTGAGTTCAAGCCAGAGGACCAGCACAAAAAAAATAAAATTCACCCCCACCTCCACTAAAACAAGTGCATTTCAATACAATGGTAAATTATTATATATAGCAAAGTCAATGACTGACAAGATTTACTATCCCAGCAAATTTTGGCAGGCAGGAGAAAAAACTCAGTTAGACTAGGGTACTTCAACTTTGGCACACTGATATTTGGTACTAGGACTTCTTGTTAGGTGGTATCCGGTATATTCTGGGATGTTTAACAGCATCCCTGAGCCACACCAAATATATGCCAGTAGTACTAGATTCCCTTCTCTTTATTTAAGAACCATTGCTTTTTAAGAGTACATAGGCTAGCCAGGTGCTGGTAGCTCACGCCTGTAATCCTAGTTCTTAGGGGGCTGACATCTGAGTACTGTGGTTCAAAGCCAGCCCAGGCAGGAAAGTCTGTGAGACTTAACCACTAGAAAATTGGAAGTCGGGCTGGGAAGGTGGCTCAGTAGTAGAGTGCTTGTCTTGCATGTATGAGGCCCTAGGTTCGATTCCTCAGCACCACATAAACAGAAAAAGCAGGAAGTGGCACAGTGGCTCAAGTGGTATGAGCGCTAACCTTTAGCTGAAGAGCTGAGGGACAGCACCCAGGCCCAGATTTCAGACCCTATGACCAGAAAAAAAAAAAAAAGTGCACTTAGGATGAGAGGAGGGGAAATGTTATTCAAGTGACAGAGTGCTTGGTTCCACAGGCCCTGGGTTCAGGTGCTCAGTGTCACAACACAAAAACAAACAGGAAAAATTAAAACTCACAACTAGAGCTAGGGGCTGGTGGCTCACACCTATAATCCAAATAGTTAGGAGGCTGAGATCTGAGGGCTGTGTTTGGAGGACAGCTGGGGCAGAAAGTTCCATGAGACTTTTATCTCAGAACAAGCTGGATGTGGTGCGGTAGCTCAACTGGTAAAGCACAATCCTTGAGCAAAAAATGGGACAGTTCCCAGGCTCTGAGTTCAAGCCGTAGGACCAGCACAAAGAAATTCATCCCCCCCATTAAAACAAGTGCATTTCAATACAAAATTAATAAATATGAATTTTTCTTTGTCAGATTTTTTTTTTTAGGGTTGTAAAACAACTTGCTCTCCTACCTTCAACTTAAGTTTTCTCTGAATCAGGGAAATGAATGTTCTCCAGCAGTTCTAACATCACAGCTAACTATTCAAAAGGATAGAATGTATACATTTAGGGCTCAAGGGTAGCTCAGGGGTGGAGGACTCACATCACACTTACAAGGCAGTAGGTTTGTTTTCTCCCGGGGAGAAAACAAAAAGAACTGAAAGTGGATACTTCTATTGAAACCTTGCAAGGCATTCCATTAATAAGATTTTTTATGGTATCAATTAAAGATACATTCAAGTTTAAAGGGAAAGGAACAGCCTTTCTTTCTTTCTGCCAGTCTTGGGGCTTGTACTCAGGGCTTGGGCACTGTCCCTGAGCTTCTTTTGCTCAAGGCTAGCACTCTACCACTTGAGCCACTTCTGGCTTTTTATGTGTATATGGTACTAAGGAATTGAACCCAGGGCTTCATGCATGCTAGGCAAGCCACTAAGCCACATTCCCAGCTCCAAGGAATAGCCTTTCTATAAAGAAAAAACTCAAAGAGGGGCTGGGAAGGTGGCTCAGTGGTAGAGCGCTTGCCTTGCATGAATGAGGCCCTGGGTTCGATTCCTCAGCACCACATAAGCAAAAAGAAAAAAGCCGGAAGTGGCGCCGTGGCTCAAGTGGTAGAGCGCTAGCCTTGAGCTGAAGAGCTGAGGGACAGCGCCCAAGCCCAGAGTTCGGGCCCCACAACCGGACCCCCCCCCCAAAAAAAGAAAAAGCTCAAAGAAACAAATAGACATTTTTAATACTAAAGTGGCTTGTGTGTGTGTGTGTGTGTGGTTGGGCTTGTGCGCTATCTCAGAGCTCTTGATCAAAGATAGCATTCTACCATTTGAACCACAGCTACACTTCCAGTGTTCTGGTAGTTAACTGCAGATACCAATTTCTTAGACTTTTCCAGCCCAGGCTGTCTTTGAATCGTGATCCTCAGATCTCAGCCTCCTGAGTAGCTAGGATTACAGGCATTGTCACTAATGCTCGGCCTTCACGTGGCTTTTTGATTCCTTCTATATTGTCTAACACTTGCATCCCAGCCACTTTGTTATTTGTCAGAGGATGATGCTAGTTACGATGTTTAGCAAAGGACGTGGTTGGCTTTGGTAGCAATCTCGACATGAACTGCTGCGGCTTCCGCTCAGACGCGCAGTCCCGGGCCTGGATCGCAAGGCCTCGGACCCCAGCACGAACTGAGGTGAATGGGCCGAAGCCCCCGGCACGGGCCTGCCAGGCGCACGGGCCGACGGGAAACCGCTCAGGAGTCCGGGGACTCGGGGAAGGCGCGGAAGTCACCCCTGCCGCGTCGCTTTTACTCGTACTTACTTTTTTAGCTCAGGAGGGTGGGCTTTGCTCATGGTTTCTAATCGGCGGGCTCAGCGATGCTTTGGAACCGAACTTGCTGCCTCCTTCACGCGCCCGCGGCACACACGACCGTTGGTCTGACGTCACGACCCTTCGTGAGCAGCCTCGCGATACTTAGGGTAGGGCTGTACCTGTCCGTCAACCACCGGCTTCCGGTTGCGTCCTCCAGTGATTGGCCAGGACTGAGAGGCGGGACTTTGTTTCCTCGCTGGTTCAGGTTCTGAGTCACGCGGGGTCTTTCACGAGTGTGGGCAGGGGGAAGAGCAACCACGTGATCCTCATGTATGTACTGGATGAAAATAAACCCTAATGGCTGTCCGGCATGTATGTTCGCGGCATGTAGTGGGGCCAGCCTGACAGTTAACGGCCAGTGTACACCAGAAGAAAGGGGCCGGGCCCCGTCCCCAGGAATTGCAGTCTAGAGCCCGAAGCGTGTTCCCGACTGCCCATCCCTTTCGGAACTCTCGCCTCCAGACCCCACGTAATGTCCTCACACGAATACTCAACTTTCCTATCAAGTGTAACCTTACATAGTAGAGTTCTCAGATTACAGCTTTTTTTTTTCCTCTCATAGTATTGGGGTCTGAACTCCGAGCTTTCAGCTTGTTAGGCAAGGATTCTATTAGTGCCACTGATAGCCATGGGTTTGGTGATTTCAAATAGGGTCTCATACTTCAAAACTTAACTTCAATCCTAGCGGTCAGGGTTGGCTATACTTAAATATAACGGGCAGTAAAGGTTTTAATATGTAATTTATTTTGTACTCTGCAGTTCTCTTCTGGGGTGGGGGTGGGGGGGCGGGTTGTTCGTGGAGCTTGAACTTTGGGCCTGGGTGCCGACCCTGAGCTCTTTCAGCTCAATGCCAGCACTCTACCACTTGAGCCACAGTGCTACTTAACGGTTTTCTGGTGGTTTATTGGAGATAAAGAGTCTCACAGACTTTCTTAGGCCAGGCTGGCTTTGAACCACAATCCTCACATCTCAGCCTCCTGAGTAGCTAGGATTACAGGTGTGAGCCACCAGCACCCGGCTATACTCCAAAATTGTGATGTTAAGAGTTCTCTAAAAGGTTCAAGTTGTCTTTTCCACCACTTGCTATTATTTAACTGTAACTGACATGGATATTAGATTTCACTTTTTAGCCTCACAGAGAAATTTCTTTTAGATAAGGGATGCCTCTTTTAGTGAGCTTCAAGTCATATATTTATACATCAGTCCTCCATCTAAACTATAACACGTAATTTCCATTTCTTTGGATATCATAAGAAATTTATTTCACATATAACAAGAAGCATATTGGGAAAGTTAAATAGTCATCATCTAGATAGTGGGAAAACAATATAAGGTCATTTAAAATCATACCACTAGGAAAATATATATATCATAGCCTTGTCACAGCAAACAGGCTATATTATAGTTTCAAGTAATAAGTTGATTTAAAAAGTAACATGGTCCCCACTGAAAAGGTGCCATGCTTTGCTAGAGCAGAAACACCACATTTGGTAAAGATTCCAGGCAAACTGGTATTTGGTAATGAGTCTGTGTCTATGTTTTTTGCTATAAGGTTGTTGCAGCTTCTCTTAGCTCAAGTTACTTAATTTTTGAACTTACTGTGCCCACAGGATGGTAAATAATGCTGGGTTTAGGCTTGTACTCCATTCTGTTCTACAAAATTGAGGGCTTTTGGGTTCTATTATGTTACAATTCTCTCAACTAGACAATAGTTCCTATTTTAGTGTTTATTACTGAATGCTGTATTTATGTATCCCTTTTCCTTGCAATGGGAAGTATCAATGTCAAGACGGTCCCATCAGTCTGCTACAAAAAGCCTCAGGGGTTATTAGCTAGTAGAGGAAGTCTGTAGGCTAAAAAACGCAATGTCAGAATTTCAAATTTATATCTTAATGGCAAAAGGAACCATTTAAGTTCCCATTCAAACTATTATTTCTTCCAAATCTGTATCTTAAATCTCATATTCTTGTATATAAAACAAAACCAAGCAAAACTAAAGATTCAGAAGCATTTTTTCCCCTTCTAAATTAGTCATCCGCTGGAATTTGCTTTACAATTCATGGAAATTGGTGTTGTGATACTTATAGTAAACAGGAGTGGGCAATAGACACACCATCCTCAAACTTCACCAGATTAGAGTTGGGTTATAGGAACATGCCAACCTGTTGCATCTTGTGTAATCAGAAGAATCTGGTACGTGGAGGATCTCTGGCTTGGTACATGGAGACCTCTACTGCCAAGAAAAGCACTTGCCATATGAAATTTAGGCTCTAGAACACTCTCCCATTCTATCATGACTGAAATTTTAGCACCAGTGTTCTCCATTTCACTTTCTATAATTAAAACACAAAAGAACCAGGGTCCACAGGCAAGTGAAATATGCCTGAAACTTGTTACCATCCTTAGTTTCTTCATTTTAAACTTTGCTTAAAAGACTTAAGATTATTCCCATTTCTCTTATTAAATAGATTCCCTGCCCCAAGCCCCATGGTCACTAGCAAAGACTTTTATTTTCCAATGGATGAGAGAGACTCCTTCATCTTCTTCGTCATAGTTGGGATGAGGTGCATGTGGTCATCCACACACTTCGTCACACAACTGTCCAGCTGCCGTTTTACCTGAAGCTCCTTATTCCCTGCATCTATTGAATCTTTGGCTTTGTCATTACAATGCATGGTGCATCGGGCCAGGCGGTCCTGTGGCAAAAAAAACAACAGGAAAGAAACAGCTGAGAGGCTAGGCATCATTTACTGAGTATTGACCATGTGGTCAAGTATTGACATGTATTATCTTACCAGTGAGATCAACAAGGTGTGAAAATTATTCAAGAGGCTGCGATCTGAGGACTATCATTTGAAATCAGCTGGGGCAAGAGAGTCAGTAGTGAGACTCTTATCTCTAATAGATTACCCAAATAACCAGAAGTAGAGCTGTGGCTCAAATATAGAGCACAAGTCTCGAGCAAAACAAGCTCAGAGACCAGGTGTAGGTCCTGAGTTCAAGCCCCAGGATGGGCAAAAATAAAATTGGAGGACTGTGATTCAAAGCCAGCTTAGACAGTAAAGCCCAAGAGACTTCATCTCCAAAAATAACCAGCAAAAACCTGGGCTGAAAAGGTGGGTTAAGTGGTAGAGAACCAGCTGAGCAAGCAAAAGGTGTAGTTCAAGCACCAGAACTAGAAGAAAAGATGCTATCAGGAGGACTCAGCTCAAACACTTCTAGAAAACAATGAAAGAATATATTGTACACAAGATTAATATTTAAAAATATCTTGAGCCTGGAGTCGGTGGTTCATGCCTGAAATCCTAGCTACTTAGAAGGCTGAGATCTGAGGATTGCGGTTCAAAGCCACCTTGGGCTAAGAAAATCCATGAGACTCCCCAAGTAACCACCAGAAAAGCAGAAGTGGCACTGTGGCTCAAGTGGTAGAGTGCTAGCCTTGAGCTGAAGAGCTGAGGGACAGCGCCCAGGCCCAGAGTTCAAGCCCAACTGACAAAAACGAACAAACAAAAAAACAGAACAACAAAACTTGATTCTTTAATGTCTGTCCTTGCTACAGAAAACCATTCAATTCAATCAAAAGTACCTATCAAGCATCTACTTTATGCAGGCATTCTATTAATGTTATGCAGCAGTTAGAAATGGGACAATGATCAAGGACAGGCTGGGCACTGGTATGCCCAGAGGCTGGATCAGGGAAAAGCCAATAAAAGAGGCCAAGAGTTTTGCAGGCGTGAGAGAGGTAGAAAACCAGGAGTAAGCTGTTGCAGCAGCACAGTGGAAAAGTGAACATATACCTGGAAACATATACCACAAAGAGGATGGAAGGAGAAAGTCGCAGAGCAACCAATGAACCAATTTCTTTCTTCCTTTTTTTTTCTTTTGGTGTTGGTACTGGAGCTTGAATTCGCATATACCACAAAGAGGATGGAAGGAGAAAGTCGCAGAGCAACCAATGAACCAATTTCTTTCTTCCTTTTTTTTTCTTTTGGTGTTGGTACTGGAGCTTGAATTCGGGGCTTTGCCCTCGTTTAGCCCTTTCACTTAAGGCTAGAGCTCTATTTCTGGAGATAGTTAATTGGAGATAGGAGTCTCCTTCCTGGCTCAAAGAACCAAATTCTTAAAGACCCCCCCTATGAAATTAGCCATCAAAATGAAAACAAATACCAAACATCTTTTAAGTTCGTGGAGAAGTTAATACCTTCATAATGGCAATATATCATACCTTTTTTTTTTTGGGTCCGGTCATGGGGCCTGAACTCTGGGCCTGGGCGCTGTCCCTCAGCTCTTCAGCTCAAGGCTGGCGCTCTACCACTTGAGCCACAGTGACACTTCCGGCTTTTTTCTTTTTGCTTATGTGGTGCTGAGGAATCGAACCCAGGCCCTCGAGCATGCAAGGCAAGTGCTCTACAACTGAGCCACCTTCCCAGCCCCAATATATCATATCTTTTTTTTTTTTTGCCAGTTGTGGGGCTTGAACTCTGGGCCTGGGCGCTGTCCCTCAGCTCTTCAGCTCAAGGCTAGTGCTCTACCACTTGAGCCACAGTGTCACTTCTGGTTTTCTGGTGGTTAATCAGAGATAATAGTCTCACAGACTTTCCTGCCAGAGTTGGCTTTGAACTGTGATCCTCAGATCTCAGCCTCCAGAGTAGCTAGGATTACAGGTATAGGCTACTGGTGCCTGGCATTAATCTATTTTTGAACTGGTACTTTTTCCCCCCCAATTGAACTCAGGGCTTAGGAAGTTTCTAAGCTTTCTCTATCAGGGCTGGGACTCTACCACTTGAGCACAGCTCCATTTCTGGATTTTTTGGTGGTTACAGTACTTTCCTGTACTAGGTGAATTCAAACTGTGATCCTTAGATCTGAACCTCCTGAGTAGCTAGAATTTCAAGTGTGAGATATCAGCACACAGCTATAACTGCAGTAACTTTGAAAAGTTTTTATTTTAAAACAATGTAAAAGCATATCCCACTATGAGTATTATATGTAATATTATATTTATTAATAGGTGTGGGAATGAAACACTGGTTCACAAAGTACTGTTTCCAGGTCTCATGAGATATAGAGACAGGAAGTAAATGATGTGAGGAACCCTTTACTCCTCAGAGGGGGAAAAGGAATACCTTGGCGGGGTCTATGAGGCAGGCATCATGGGTCAACAATAACGTTTCATATAAATGCCAACTTTGAGCACAGGGACTGCTCTGTGTGGAGCAAGTAGTGGCAGTCCTGGAGGGAGGTAGAAGTCTACAAAATAGCGGTAGGGTCCCGCTTTAAAAATCTACACCTTTGGTCAGATTTAGTGGCACACTCCTGTAATCTCAAATCACTTGGGAGGTGGAGGCAGGTGAATATCAACTGTGGTGCCAGCCTGGATATTCTATAAAAGGGCTATTGTTTTTTTTTAAATTTACATATTTATTTTGCACAAGTACTATGGCTTGAACTTGGGGCTGCATGCTCTCAGCAGGCTTTAGTGCCCATGGCTACTGCTCTATTTGAGCTATACCCTCCCAGAGTTTTTGAGCCTGGGTTTCTTCTGCCTGAGCTTCCTTTAAATGGTGATGACTGCTGGGTGCCAGTAGCTATGGCTGTAACCCTAGGTCCTCAGGAGGCTTAGATCTGAGGATCACCTTTTGAAGCCAGCCTGGGCAGGAAAGTCCATGAGACTATCATCTCTAGCCACCAAAAAGCTGGAAGTGGAGCTGTGGCTTAAATGGTCAAGTGCCCAGGTCCTGAGGTCAAGCCCAGGTACAAAAACAAAAACAAAACAAATGGTGATCCTCTAAGTGTCACTCTCCTAAGTAGGATTTAGAGGCATGCACCACTGGCATCTGGCTTTTGTTTTAAAAAGGAATTAATATACATCTTAGAGATGTATGTATTCACACAGGCTTTGGTGTTTAACCACAAGAAAGACCTAAGAACCTTCCCTTTTCCATCATTGTTCCTATGGAGGGGCTGAACCCCTGAGTGTTAACTTGAAGTTAACACTCAGCTTCCAAGACTTCTTCCAGAATGCTTGTCATCTCCTGTGAAAGGGCACTTCAAAGCCTGGAGACGGCTACTCTTTGGGATATTCCTCACCTGGAACTTTTCCAACTCACTGGTCACCAAGGCCTGTGCTTGAGCCAGAGGTGCATGGCAGCGCTCGATGCACTGGTGCACCTGTTGCATGGACGCCTGGTTATCTTCACAGCAGGTGGCACTGCACCGGAACATGAGGCCCTGGGAAGGGAAGGAGTGAAGAATTGGCTTTGGTAGGAGAACCTCTAGGACAGATGACCACGTTCTTCAAAGCTTTGGAGGATACATCTTTTAAACGGCACTGGGGGATTGAAGGCTGACCTCCCGCACACACTAGCATTGGAGCCATGTCCCAGTCCAGAGAGCAATGTTTCTATGTGCACCTCCCTTAGAGATCAGCATGAGGACCTTCAGAATCAACTCTGGGAAAATTCTGTGCCTACTGCGGTTTCACCGCCCTACCCCCTTCCTTAAAAAGTACGTGCTGGTACTGGGTTATTTCTGCACAAGGGTGTGTGTGTTCTATCACTTGAACCACGCCCACACTTTCTGGCTTCTCGCGGGCTAAGTGGAAATAAGTCTCATGGGCAGTCTGGTCTGACTAGCTTCCAGCCCGGATCCTCAGGTCTCAGCCTCCTGCGTAGCTAGGATCACAGGCTAGCTCCCAGCTAGCTCCCAGGCGCTCGCTTTCCTCAGGCTGGGTGGGAGGGGTGGGTGGGGCGGATCAGATAAAGCCGAGTACGTCCAGAGCCCAAGGTTCAGAGGTCGGCCACGTCGAAGACTTAGGTCCCACCAGAGGGCAATCATGACTCCAGGCGCCATGCGAAAGAAACGCCAAGTCCGGCGAGGACGGCCGGACCCAGCAGCCCACCAGCCCCACACAGCAGTTCGGAGCAACAGAACCCGGCCGGGCCTGGCCACGGCGGGGGCGGGGGCGGGGGCGGAGCGTCCCCTCTCCGGCCTTGCACCTCGGCGGCGCCCTTCCTGCGCCCCAGTTCACCCGAGGGCGACCGGGGTCACACGGGCGGGGGCCAGCGCCTGACCCCGGCTCTGTTACCTCCCTCCTGGGCTGGTGGGAAACGGCCTTGCGCGTGGCCAGGACCCAGGCCTCGCCCGCCCGGCCCACGGAGGCCCGGCGACCCCAGGGGCGGCCCCGGCGCGTCCGCAGGGAGCGGACGGCGTGCCGGCCGACAGGGAACCCCGCGACAGGGGCTCCGGGCCCGGCCCGGCCTCGTCCACACTACCTGCATCTTCCGGATGTTCTCTCTCTCCACACTCTTCACCATGGAGTCCACCGCCTCCTGCACGCGGAGCTGCTGCACCTCCGCCATGGCAACCCCGCGCTGCGCCGCGCTGCGCCGGCGCCCACATGGACTCGCCGCTTGTCCCGCCCCCTGCCGCCGAGTCCCGCTCCGCGCGATGGCGCGCCTGCTCTGCCCGGCCCCAGCCGCCCCCTGGCGTCCCAGAAGGAGTAACTCCACGCGGTGCCGGGCTGCGCGGAAGAGGTTTCCAGAGGGTTGCTGTCCTGGCTTTCTGCTGTCTATCTGTCTATCTGTCTGTCTATCTATCTATCTATCTATCTATCTATCTATCTAT